TTGTTTGGGTGTTTTTAAATTTGTTGGTCTACTTTATTTTTCTTTTTAAGCATGCTGAGTCATTGCTATCTTTTCATTTAACATGACCCTTTATTATAATGAACCAATCAATCAAACTGTGCAGTCCAATAATGAGAATGTATTGAAAATCTTTATAGCTACTACTACTAAACCATTTTGAGTTGATAACACAGAAACGAAATTTGCATGAGGCATTACTTTTAAAAAAAATATTTTTATTGATTTCAGAGAGGAAGGGAGAGGGAGAGATAGAAGCAGCAATGATGAGAATCATCAATCGGCTGCCTCCTGCACACCCCCTACTGGGGATTGAGCCCAAAACCCAGGCATATGCCCTGACTGGGAATTGAACCATGGCCTCCAGGTTCTTGGGTTGATGCTCAAACACTGAGCCACACCAGCCAGGCAAGAGGCATTTACTTTTCATGAGTCTACTTCTGCCTGCTGTGACCTAGGTCTTTTTACTTCAGCTTGTCTATCATATAGGTATTGAGTGAGGACTCAATTCTCCTACCTCTTGTCACTCTTCAAACTACCACACAACACTTTTGTGTGTGGCTTATTCAGCCCAATATATTGTCATGCAGCTTTCATTTGCATGGTTGCATCGGTTATGTAATATTGCTCTGTGCTTATTTGCATAAGAAGTGAAAGAAATGAAATGGAAGTGGTAAGCACATTCCTGTTTTGCAATAATTTTTAGGATGTCAAATCAGAATCTCAGCTTGCAAAATGACTTACAACTCTAAAGCCTTTTCCTATGGCAATGCTCTCAAGTGCATATTACCACTGATGAAGAGAAAATCTGTCTTTATAACATGAGTACAATGGTAATTATGAGTCAACTGTTGTCATTTCGACACCATCACCCTAACGTCATCCAGAGAGGCTTAGCCTCACGGTAAAAGTTCAATGCTGTCACTTCAAGACGGGGATTGCTCAGTACCCACATCATTGTTAACACGGCTCAGAAACGACACGGCAGAAGCTGATTTCAGTGTATTACACCCACATGACTGAGGATACAGTTAAAATAATCCTTGTAAGACCATCCACTTTTGAGAACATAACACTTTTGGGAAGGTTGTCTATTGAGAAAAGAAAAATATTTAAATTCTAGAATTCTCCCAGCCACAGACACCGGTGTGGGATGCACACCAATCTCTGTCATCTTCTTCATTGTTCGGAAGAGGAACCAGGCCAGGAGAGAGGGAGGCACACAGCTACTCCAGGACGGGGCTGGACTCAAACTCAGCGCCCTCCCGTTCCACCCGGCCTTGTCTCTGTATCGCCTTGGCTCTTGCACCCCATGGGGCAAGTTGGGTCTCACTAAGTTCAGAAATACAAAATAGTGATGCTAAAGGATACTTATTTTTTACTTTAGTTTTTTAAATGTGTGTGTGTGTATTTTTTGTTTATTTGTGTGTTTGTTTTTTCCTCTGTGTCTCCCTTAAAACTTAGAAACTTGGGGTTCCGAGTTCACACTGTCAGTTCATGCAGAATAATTTTGTTTCCCAACTGCAACAAGAGCTCCCTCTAATGGCTGTTTATTTGGACAACAAATTCTTGGGGAAATGAAATACCCCTGATCTCTTAGAAGGGAGGGCTTTAGATCATTTGTAACCCATTTCGGTCTATAGGTTATAGAAATCCATGCTATTCCTACCTCTGAAATCATATCAATATAAATAAAGCAACATTTACTTGATGTAAACATTGTGTTGTACACCTGAAACTAATACAAAATAATATTGAATGTAAACTGTAATTGAAAAATAAAATGTAAAGTTCTTTAAAAAAAACACAAAAACTTACTTGATGTAATGGTTAATTTTATGTCAGCTTGACTAAGTCACAAAATGCCCACATAGCCTGGCCAGTGGCTCAGTGGCTCAGCATTGACCCATGAACCAGGACGTCACGGTTCGATTCCAGGTCAGAGCATATGCCTGGGTTGCGGGCTCGATCCCCAGTGTGGGGTGTGCAGGAGGCAGCCAATCAATGATTCTCTCTGATTGTTCATGTTCCTATCTCTCTCTCTCTCCCTCTCCTATCCTCTCTGAGATCAATAAAAATATATTTAAAAACAAACAAAAAAAACCATGTAAGTGTAGGCCTCTTACAACTTGTGTTAGACCAGTGGTTCTCAACCTTCCTAATGCCGCGACCCTTTAATACAGTTCCTCATGTTGTGGTGACCCCCAACCATAAAATTATTTTCGTTGCTACTTCATAACTGTTATTTTGCTACTGTTATGAATCGTAATGTAAATATCTGATATGCAGAATGTATTTTCAGTTACAAATTGAACATAATTAAAGCATAGTGATTAATCACAAAAACGGTATGTAATTATATATGTGTTTTCCAATGGTCTTAGGCGACCCCTATGAAAGGGTCGCGACCCACAGGTTGGCAACCCACAGGTTAAGAACCGTTGCGTTAGACAATGTAGTCTTTTCAGTAAACACATCAGAAACCAGGCGTGTTTTCAGTCAATTCTGTTTTATCTTCTCTTTTACATCATTGTGGACTTATGATTCTGATAATACAGCCCTGTTTCAACATCTAGAATTCATCAACTAGTCCCGAGCTTGGAAATATGGAATCAACTGTCCTCCACGGCGATTTGTTCCTTTCACTGGAGAGTAGTTTCAGAGGCCACAGGTACTCCTTCTATGAATAAGCTTGTTCCACATTTTGACTGGAATTTGGCAGGATGGCAGCAAAACTCTCCAACAGTATAAATCACGGTGGGACAGAACAGATAAAGCCTCCTTTTAAAAATGTCCATGGATTCTTATTGCTATTTCCAGTTCACTTCTATTTAAACAACTTCTTTTACTTACTCTAATAGAGAAGTGTAGTCATCCCTTTTTTTCACTTTTTGAACGACTGCTTTTTCTTTTTTAAATTAATGTTAATTTTTAAAAGCTTTAAATGACCATACCAAACCAGGGCTCTACATTTCAGTGTTGACTCCCAAACCAGAAGGCTTCCTATCTTCTTTTCTTCCTTGGCCCTCAGACCAGCCATCCTGCAACTGGCTTCACGGTGTGCAAGTCCCATCGATTCTTTGGTCAGCATGGCCTTAGCACCAAAATCTGTAAAGAAAAAAGCCTTGCCTTCTTCCAAGAAAACACCAAAGAAACTATGAGCTCAGTGCACTCAGTGTGATGGCATGTTTGCTTAAGAGAAGATAATAGTGAAATGTAGATTGTAGACAAATACCACTTCTCAAAGTTTCCAAAAAATCTGTCACTTTTCTCCATGTGAACTCCCTGATTTGAATTTGTTTTGCTTTCCCTTCATATTTTTTCTTCCACTGGTGCCTTTGTATATTTTGGGACAGAACTTTAAGTAGAAAACTGTAGTTTCACAGAGCCCATGGGTACATACAGTGGCCTGTACCAACTCAAGAGTCGACTGGGCACATCTTTTCCCAATTCTGCATTCAGAGACACCATGCTCATAGCTTGCAGTCACCCACAGTAGAAGTATTTACACCATGGGAATGGGCAAATGCTGTAAATCAGGACTTTTTACCCAGAGAGCCGATTGTTAAGCATTTACAGAACAACTCTGGGCACACACCTCAGTTTTCCCCAAATCGGTCAAAATGTCAGAACACGCTATCGATTAACATCTAGAATTATCCAAGTAATATACCAAACATTATGGTTGAGAATTCCCACTCAAGAGGTCTATATAGAATAGCTTTGGGAGCTTTATATAATTCCTGCAATTGTCACTGCATAACATTCTCCAGAACCAACCCTTAAAAGATAAAAAATACAGCCTGGCAGCATAGGTCAGTGGTTGAGCATTGACCTATGAACCAGGACTGATTCCTGGTCAGGGCACATGCCCGGGTTGCAGGCTCAATCCCCAGTGTGGGGCATGCAGGAGGCAGCCAATAAATGATTCTGTCTCATCACCTGATGTCTGTCTGTCTCTGTCTCTCTCTGTCTCTCTCTCCTCTTTCTCTCTGAAATAAATATATATGTGTATATATTTATATTTATATGTATGTGTGTAATAAATTAAGACAGTAATTTGATTTTTAAAAAAGACAAAAAATACAATTAGATTAATAGTACGTTTTAGTTATAATATCCAAGGCACATTACATTTAGTTATCTACCAGTTTCCAGAGGGTTTTATTTCCACAACAGACAAACATAGAGAATTCAGTAATGTCTAGTGATTAAATTTCCATGCTGACATCCAATTCTTGACGTGAATGAATGCATGCTATGCTCTCTCCTCCCCAACTTTATACTCTGAGTAACTGTGTGCCTTCTGGATGATATGGAGAATAGAGCCTAGCAAGCCTGAGTATGGGTCTGGCTTTGCCAAAATCTAAAATAGACTGAAGAAATATCGTTTCCTTGTTGAGTCTGAGTGGGGCTGGCCCACTAATTTCTTCTAGCAGTCTGTCATGGCACCCCCGGTGTTATTCCCAGGAATGTAATGGCCTCAGATAACTCATCGTTGGAAATTGTTTGCAGTAGAGCAGTGGTTCTCATTTTATTGTTCATTTAGCACCTTAATTTAGGCAGGAGAAACACTTCTACCTGAAGGTTCTGTGTAGCTGAATTCCCCTGCCTTTTTATTGCCACTTCAACAGAGAATGACGGCCTAAGCCAGGACACTCAGGCCTCGCCCGCCAGCTGCCTTGGGACAGTACTTGGCCAGATTCCTCTCTCTGAGGGGTTGGTATTCTGAGCTACATTTCATCTGAATCTACTACACTTCCTCCCTACTCTCTGCTATTTGTTCTAACCCAGCCCCACACCTTAAACAGGACTTCCTCTGGCATTGCCTCCATAGTCTTACCTGCCCCTTAACTTGGCTGGGTCTGCCTGCACTCACTGAAGGACATAGGGCCATGCCTTGGTAGAGCTTCAGGAATAAGCCAGTGTTTAGCTGCCCTGGCTCCCAGCACAAGACTGCTCTGGATGCCCCCTTTCTCCACCTAACATCCCTCCACATTCTACAACATTCTATTATCTTCTGTGTTTTTCTATGTATTACTAAAGGAAGGTGGGGAGAGAGGAAGTATTCTATCTATTCCCCCTTTTCCCCATGTCAGAAACCTGCAGGAATCACAATACAATCCAGATCCAAAACTGACTCAGAACAGATATGTTTGTTTTCTAAGACTTATAACCTTGGAGAGACGCTAGGCTTATCATCAGTCCCCCACTTATCTCTCCAAAATCATTTGCATCTGGCTAATATTGTTGGCCATTTCCATATAGCTTTTAATTTCTATTATTTCTTCAAGCCAGTAATTATTTCAAATCTTCTTCTTGCTTTCCAAGAGGACAGATATTTCTTGGGTAACCTTTTATTTTGTTGTCATTTTTTAAATTCTCTTGCATTACAGAGAAAGTGTGAGATCTTAAGGTTTCTGCTTATTTGGCAACTATAGCATTGTGAGTCATTCAAATCTTGCACAGGGCATCATATTGCACTTACCAACTACTATTGCTTTTTATATTTTTCATCTTGTTTTCCAAATTTATCTACTTGGTATGGGTATATCTGATTCACTTGTTTTAACTGCTGTTTAGTTATTTAAATATATGATTGATTTATTCATTCTCTTATTGGTGGATATTGATTAATTCCTTTCTATGTCTCTCTCTTTTTTTCCCAATGGCAAACCATGCTTCACTGAACAGATTTAAACTTACACTAGTATCTCCTTTTTTCTATGAATGCAAGTTTTCTCTAGGATGGGTATTTAAAATTATAATTGCTTGTTCTATACAATATCCTGCTTTACTAGTATCCACAGACTTCACCCCAAAGGTGTCGTAGAAGTTTATAAATTCTCGTTGGTAACGTATGAGAATTTTCCCCACATCTTTGTCAACACTTGAAAATTTTTAGTTTTGCCATTATGATGGTTGTACAATATATTTTTTTCATAGCCCTGAAGAAAGATATATATCTTCGTATTGGAGAAACTTGGGTCCTAAGCAGAATAAATAGAAATAAGTCCATAGTGAGTAACACCATAGTGAAATTTTAGAATACCAAAACAAAAGAAAAACATTTTTAAACAACCAAAGGGAAAATACAATTTACTTACAATGGAAGGCAGGTAGAATGGCAGATTTCTCATTGGCAATTATAGAGGTCAGAAGACAATAGAATGGTATCTTCAAAATGCTGTTTGGGGGAATAAAATCAGTCAAACTAGAATTCTATATGAGTCTCTTGGTGATTTTATTTGTACATTCTCTATTGGACCTCCCCCCACCTTCTTTAGAAATAGATACTGTCCTTTGACCAAAGGAGTGGGTAGGTGTCTGAAGCTGGGCAAATCCTAGAACCCCGTGCCTTCTGGTCACATGATTGTCAAGAGTAGGCACATAAACAAAGAAAGAGCTCTGGCCCAGCCGGTGTGGCTCAGTGGTTGAGTGTTGACTCATGAACCAGGAGGTCATGGTTGGATTCTCCAATAGGGCACAGGCCTGGGTTGCGGGCTCGATCCCCAGTTGGGGGCATGCAGGAGGCAGCTGATCAATGATTTTCTCTCATCATTGATGTTTCTTTTTCCCTTTCCCTTCCTCTCTCTGAAATCAATAAAAATATATATTTAAAAGAAAGAAAGAGCTCTGGACATTCTCAACCCTTCCATCTCCATGCTTTGAATATACATTTTCTTTGTTTTGGCCCCTTGCATCTGACAGTCCATTGAGGAAGCTTTTCAAGGAAGAAAGAAAAACTTTGGTGCTCAATGCTACCAGCTCTTCCTTAGGACTCCAGCTATTCTATTATTAGGACCCAAATAGTTCTCCAAAGGGAAACTTACACTAGAAAAAAATGGAAGGCATCACGTGAGGAACTGGGTTCAAAAATCTGACTGAGGACTTCCGGAGATTTGAGACAATGCAAGTAACAGGAAACTAAATATGTAGGTGAAAGGATGTTAAGGAGACAGGTTCCGCAATGATACAACCATCCTAATGCAGGTGAACACGCCTGCAGGGCATAATGGCACCTGGGCACCAGGCCATTTGGGGAAGTGAAGAAACCAAGATTGGAGAGAACACACCTGGCTGTAGAACAGCAGCCCTATCAGGGGCTATTCTTAGTTACCTGACAGTGGGGACCTGCCTCAGTGAAAGTGGTGTTGGTTTGGCAGAATCTGTCGGCACCTGTAAAAAGATCTGGAGAAGGCAGTGTGGACTGTGAAGCCCGGAGCAATGAAAGTGTAGAAAGACTGATAGTAGCTCTGCCAGAGATCTGAAAACCAGGATGTTTTGTGAATTTAAGTTGTAGAAAGACAGGTGAGTGAGGGAAAGAGATGGAAGACAGGAGCTGAAAGAAGGATGGCAGTTGGAGAGCATGCAGGACCCTGGAGTGAAGAGAAGGCTATGGTCTCCGTCTGCCCCTAGCTGTTCCTGCGCTCCCAGCACTGCCTACTGAGATCAGTGAGCAAATCACGGAAGATCTTTGGTTGTTTAAGAAGCTGTGGCTTAGAAAAATAATGGAGTTGACATTCTGAATAAATACATTATGCAGCTGAAACCACTTGATCTTTGCATCAGAGGAGAAAACCCTTAGGGAAAGAAATGGACAGGATTATTTTTAAAATAAAAAGTTAGTTGGCAGATTACCATAGTAAGGAGATGAAAAGTCAGGGGAATCAGACGGTAGCGAAATCCACATTGCCAGGAGTTGAATGAAGACAGACATCATTAACATTACAAGCTACATAATGAGGTGTCAGCAAGACGTCAGCTGTGGGGAAAAGTTGGAAGATGATGCTTTTTTTACTTGCAGCCAAAGCTCTGGTTGAAAATAAATGCCACATCTTGCAGCTGACAGTAGAGATCTTTAATGATCCCCATCAGAAAACTAAGACTGTTCAAGGGCCTGACTCAGAAAGCTTACAAGACAGAAGAGGAAGAACAGACGCTGTTGGCTGCAGAAGAGGGTGCTCATGGAGAATTTAAGAAATGGAGGGTGAATTATAGTGAAAACAGATTATGTAAAACTCTGCTGGAAAAACAAACAAAAAACCCCAGGACACCAGGCTTTTTTTCTTTTTGATGCATCAAGATTTCTTCCTGTAGAAAAGAGAGACACTGCCTTCCTGAGACAGAAATTGCCTAAGACAGAAATTGCAGGTAGCAAGCCCAAAGATTGTTGTACTTCAGAGCCTTCAGAAATAAACCCAAATCCAGCAAGATCTACTAAATAAATCCCATCAATAAGAGGTTCTGGAAACCAGATGGGCTCCCATGAGATAGTCTGATAAGTACAGGGCACTGTACTCCCCACAGTGCCATTCACCTTTCTTTACTATGGAAGATGAATGCCTAGAAGTGAATTAGTTGTGAGTGGGCTTGTACCTGGGTAAGGGATATATGTGGTGTCAGGAAAAATCTTACCCTCTAATCTGCATGCAAACATGAAGAATGTCTAGTGGGTCCCACACCCTCTGATGACACACTACCCAACCCTCCTTGATGGTGGACACAAGAGGGATATCTCCATTTCACATTAATCAAATAGATTTGCCTGGATGTTTGCATCGGGCTGTTCATGGACCACCACCTGGGCCAAGGGACTTTTTCAATATCTGATGAAAATATCTACCTCTAGCCCTAGCTGGTTTGGCTCAGTGGATAGAGCATCGGCCTGTGGACTAAAGGGTCCCAGGTTCAATCCTGGTGGTTTCATTAATGAAGAATGGCCACTTTCTACAGCAAGGGCTGGTTTCGCTGATGAAAGTAACTTCCTATCTTTATCAGGAGCACCTGTCATTAACTCAGCAGAGAAAAGACTCCCACCACTACCAGCCACCTTCTCAAACGTGGACCCAGACACTCTTTCTCACACTTTCTTCCTGGTGGGCTTACATTCTGTCTAAAGGATTCTTTAGAAACTTAAAGCCTTTCTCCATAAGAGACTACCTTCTTTCTGACCCTAATTAGTTGAGATTATCTATCTTTATTTCTCTCTCTACAAAATACTTCCAGCCTATAGGGTCTAGAGAGAAGGCCATTAGCTTCTCCAGGTGCCAACCCTGGGCCTCACAGGCTTCCAGCCTTAGGTTATAAAGAAACTATTGGGAGAATTTATGTGCTTCAAAACCCAATGTGAATGTTACTTTGGTAAATTTAACACCTTTTTAGAGCTTAGTTTTATTATTAAGAGATCTTTTATGAGCCAAATTATTCAAATCTGCTAGATATTTTATTTGCTATGAAGGCTACCACTTAAACTCTAGTCTCTCATTTTCTCCACTCTCCTCAAACCCATTTTATGCATTACTACTGTAGTTTATATAGTTAATGTAGCATATGCAACAGAAATGTTGAGTGTCATGTTGAGTGTAATACTTTTACATAAAATTTTTTAAAGTATAAATATAATTATCAAGAATGTTTGTTAATCTATGCTCTTTTGCTCAGCCACACTTTGGATAAACCTAGTCAGTTAATCAAAGGTCAAAACAATCAACTTTGTGTTGGCAAATTGTTTTGTAAGCGGAAATAAGTAACCCAAACCTATGATGTAATTCCAAACAGTATACTCTTCAATTCACTAAATCATTCAGAAAATCACTAACATAACTATTCTATCAATATTTGCTTTCAGTCATGAAAGTGGAGACTGTCAGATTCTTTTATTCCAGTGGAACCATTTAACTATATAAATTTAGAAATCAACATAGATCCTAAAATCTGCCTTAGATGATGTGGAGGTGTGGCCAGGAGCCTGCTGACTTCACCTCCCTCTTATCTCATAAGGTGGCATCTCCAAGTATTCCAGGGCTCCACCAGCTCAGATTGGAAACTTCTAGGTCACAGCATTATGGCAGCAAGGTCAAGGTCACATTTCAATGGCCATGGGGGCCATGACCAACCTCTCCCATTTACAAATGCAAAACGCTATGTGTTATAAGATGGATGTATAGCTTATGCTCAATAAAGAAGCACAATCTTTACCCAACATTCCTCTGAGTATGTACCTGCCATACAAATAAGAAGAGCAAGTGTGAAAAATCTCTCCAAATCACAACTGTACACCCTACTGTCCAGTCGACAGAATCTTCTTTGTCCATTAAGAACACTTCATTAGCCCTAGCTGGTTTGGCTCAGTGGATAAAGTGTCAGCCTGCAGACTGAAGGGTCCCAGGTTTGATTTCAGTCAAGGGCACATGCCTGGGTTGCAGGCTCAATCCCCAGTGTGGGGCATGTAGGAGGCAGTCGATCAATGATTCTTTCTCATCACTGATGTTTCTATCTCTCCCTCTTCCTTCCTCTCTGAAATAAATAAAAAATATCTTTAAACAAAAGAACACTTCATTATATTTCAACAGAGGTAATATGTACCCTTTAATGGTGTTATTAATGGGCCTGGCACATGTGCTATGGAGTCAGGCAGGAAGCCCTCCTAGGACCCTTCCAGGGTGAGTTTCCACATTCCTCTGATGTTAGAACAGCAGCCCAGATGACATTCAGCAAACTACTGTCTCACAGAACAGCCCCATCTGGCTGTGAGCTGTCAGAAATTTTATAGCTTCCAAGAGTGAAGGCTTCCTCATCATTCTTTATTCCTTAAGAAGATAAGACTCTCTCTTGCTCCAACTCTTCTGAGACTACATGGGTCTCAAGTTAGATCCGGGATTTACATCTAAATATGAAGTTGTAGGCAAGGACTTAGTGGCAAAATATTGCCTTGAATTGTAAATTAATTAACTCATTAATTAAATTCACCAGGGGAAGGTTTTTTTTAAGAAGATTTCGATGACCTGAGATAAAGTGGTTTCTTCTCCACCACTCTTATCTCTGACCCCAATACCAGCACCCTCATTGTGGACAGGCCACTTCACCTCCAACTTCAAGAGAAAATCAAAGCCAAAGGTGGGAAATGACCCAAGCTCCTGCCACTGACCCTGCACACCCATCAGACTCTACTCTCCTTTTCTTCTTCAATTTTTTCCTAATAAAAAGGTACCTCTGAATCCATTCCTAATCCCCTCATCTGTTCTCTGGATTCCACCTCCCACATCCTCAGTTCTTGACTCTATCAATTAATCTCCTCCTCCTTCATGCACCCTCTCTGCTGCCTTCTTCCCAGGGCATTCCTCATGCTCAAGTGTCTCCTGAGTTCATGGAAAATTCCTGCTCTGGCCCTATCCTCTGCTTCCCTTTATGGTCAAGCTTAGTTGAAGGAGTTACATCAATCTTCGTGAATTCCTGTTCCTCACCTTCCATTTGCTCCATACAGAGGGTGCCCTACAAAGTCACCAAAAATTCCTTATTACTAAAGACAACAGACATCTTTGATTCCTCAAGTCTCTAAATTTTTAAAAAATTGTTCCTATAAAAAAACAAACAAACAAACATCCATTCAATCAACAAGTATTTATTGCTTTTACTAGTGCTGGGAACTGAGGATGTAGCAGTAAATGGGTACTGGCAGTCCTGGGGTCTACATTAGGAAGGAAAGGGAGCCACGCAATAAACAAGTGAAAAAATGAACAAGATAATTCCACAGGGTGATAAGCGCCGTGAAGACAGACAAACGAGAGTGATGGGCTAGAAAGTAACCATGGAAACCACTCTGAGCTGAAGGCACAGATCTTAGGCCAGAGCATCACAGGCAGAATGAACAATAACAGAGCCCCGAGATGGGGACAAGCACTGAGTAGATATGACACCATCTTATTTACAAGTACAAAAGGAGAGACGGGAAGAAGGCAAGAAAGTGTCGTCTTCCTCAGTAGGGAAAGGGCATCTGAGTCCCAGGCAGAGTGAGCTAAGCCTGGATGAACCATAAGCCTTTTACCCTTATGGTCTGGAGCCTGGCTCCACATCACCTCCAGACCTAAGAAGAAAAGTGTTGGGAGGTGGGAAGGGTGGAGGAAGTAGCTACTGTTTGCATCTTTCACCCTTCAATCCCAACATATAAATCAGCCAAGCTTGGGCTTCAAATAAGCTGGGATGGCTTCTGGAATGGACCCTGCTGGAGCCTAAAGACAGATGGATCCACTCCAACCCTCTCCTTCCACCTTCCAACTCTGATGTAAGGAAAGTGGCCAAGAGGGGCTCCTATAAGGCTAGTGTGTGGCATGCAATGGAACCCTAAGTCAAAGACAGGCCCAGAAGGGAGTATGTTAGAGTTTGTTTTTTCTGATGATCAGTTTAAGAGGTCAGGGTCCTCAGGGGACATGGATCCAATGTGGACTTGGAGGGACTTGTGCGTGGGAGAGAGTGGGAGAGAAAAATGAGAGCCCAAAGATGTTCTCCCAAAGCCAAGTTCCCTAACCTAACACACACACACACACACACACACACACACCAATCCACAAGGTGACCTGAGAGTCCTTCATTTAACCTGTGGAAACACTCCCTCCCTATAGCATGTGTATGTGTGTAGGGGGTGTGGTGGAACTAGGGTAGATGGGGGCGGGGGAGGGTTAATTCCTATGGTGGTGATAGAGAGCCCATACTGACACCAAAGTCCTTCCCAAGAGTCTAGGGCTACAGGTAGTGGGAGTAAAACAGAGCAGAGATGGGCATTCAACCACAATCCTGCACCATTATGATTTGGACAAGTCTCTCCCCTCCCACTCCCCGCCCCCAACACACCCTGCATGGTTTCCTACACAGGAAGAGAAGTCTTGGGCTGCTTAACCTCCCCTAACTCACCCCTCCACCCACTTAATTCTCCTCTCCCCAAAGCCAAGCTCTTTTTTTTTCTCCTGATCCCACTACAGTATCAGAGAGAAATGTGAAGGGGTCCAGCTAGGGAGAGCATGGAGGGACCAGGCCTCAATCCTGCCCAGGAACTGGGCATTATTGCTATAGCAACTCAACTCTCTGAGCACACCTCCTGGTCTCGTGAAAGTGCCCGGGGGCCATCTGCCCACTCAGGGAAGTGAGGAGGTGGGAAAACAATATTTCCTGCTTTGCAAGGAGGGCCCATCTTAGCAGCCCCGTTTCCAGGACTCCCCAGAAGAGGGGATGGGAGCAGGGCATCACGGTTGAGGCCAATAACCTGCTCAAAGTGGCACAATTTGCAAAGCAATGAATTCTGGAGTTGAGATCATCCAGATGGGTTGACAAGCTCAAAAGCGGTGCCTTAGAGTATTTTTTCTCACTCAGGCCGGGATCAGGAAGAGACATTCACAAATTCCTCCATGAGGTTGGAGACAGGGGCTGCTTTCTCGGGCCTTTTCTCTTAGCTTCTGACACAGTACATTGGTTCCATGTGGATGTAGACCCCTCTGACCCTCCCTGGGAATATCTGTGCATCTCTAGATTATCTGAGAGCCTATTATCTTACTCTGAGAAGAATGTGGATCTTCCCCAGAGCAAACTGTGCCTCTGACTGTGGGCTAGTACAGGGAACTCACTACAAAGAAGGAGATCAAGGATCTAAACAGGATCAAGGATCTGCAACAGGATGCCAGGGACAGAAAGGAATAGGGGTTAGAGGTTAACACATGGGCTGGCACTTCAACCATCCTAATCCGAAGACCCTGGGGGCCTGGCACATCCTGGGGGAGAAAGGACTGCAGGTGAGACCAATAGAGCCATGCCCTGAGTTCTGAAGCCCATGGGGCGCTGCTGGGACCCACCGACTGGAGCATAACACAGAGATGCCCCTCTCACCTCCAGGCAGGCTGCCCGTTGGCCCTCCTGCCATGGAGACCTTGGGCATCAGCAGGTGTCTGCCTCTGCATCATATTCGGAACCGGCGAGCTTGCCCAAGGGCATGTGGGTCAGGCAGCAGTGTGTCCAGGAGCTGAGGCCATCCATTCACTTGAAACTCCTCTTTGGTTACTTCTTCCTTGGGGTTGGCTTGCTCCTCCTTCTCAATCTGGTTTACAAAGAGAGACATAAAAATCCATGACCCTGGTAAGTGCTCAGTTCATGTGACACTGAATTTGTAGACTACCTTTGAGGTGATTTGTCTTCTGGAAAATCGTTAGAGTCCCTCTGTTTAATTTCTCAATTCTGGTAGTACCTGGCTAAAATAATATTTTTTCCTAGCCTGATCCTAGAAAAGATACTTTTTAAAGGTCTTTCTATTTTTATGTGCAACAACTATTACTTTTCTATTTAATCACTGCAGATAAATTTTAAACACAGAAAAACGCAAAGGAAATCAAAGTACCACCCCACTCCTATGGGAAAAAAAAAAACCAGTCACACTGCCCAGGAATGTAAAGACATGAGTGTACACAAATATACACATAGGGCATATGCACTCACATGATAAAATTGTGGCTATATTGACATGTTCCCATTTTAATGGGGACCAGACTGTATTCAAGAAAATAAACAACACCCAGGAAAGATATGAAAATGTGGCCCCAGACAAGCATTGTTTGCAAGCTTATTCTCCATAGTATATTAACTGCAATTCATTTAGACAGCAGAACTTTTTGTGACCACCTATGAAACGAGACTGTCAGTTTCAGATCATCATCAACATTTTTCATTTAAAAAAGAAAAAAATAGCAAAGATGCATATATCAGAAGTGTGCCATACTTTTACACTATGGACTGAACTTATGGGAATCACAGCTTTTCCTAAAATGTTATTTTAGACCTAAAATTCATATTAACAACAGCATTTTCCAAAACCCCAAATTATATATCAAGCTAACAATGCTGGTGCCCTTCAGACAGGATTAAGGACAAATGAAGAAACAATTGGTTGAAATTTGCAGAGTGAATTTTAGTAGCCTGGGAGGTTGGAACACATCCCTTGAAATCTGGGGAGGGAATCTTTATATTTTCCTGATTGCCTCTATGACCTCCACAGGAAACAGCCTTTTCATATTAGAGCTCCACACAGATCCTGCCGAATATAAAACCCTGGATGAGCACAGTAGCATAGCAGCCCACAGATCCCAAGCATCACCGTGCAGGTACCACTGCAATCAGCCACTGTGGCATCTTAGAAAATATAAGCACCTAGTTACGTAATTGGCACTTTACTGGCAATGGCAGCCACATCGGTGGCACTGGGGATGGCCAAATTGTGCAGCAACAGCCCCTGAATTCAATTTCAACAAGTGGGAGCAACTGAGTTGAGGAGAATGGGCTAATAGTTAGGTTTAAATGGCACAACGTATCCACTAAGTAACAGTTCTAATAGCATCCACCTACCTAGTCTATAAGATCCTACACTAAGTACTTTACAATGATAAATAGTGAGGTAGATAACAACCTCATTTTACAGATGGGAAAAAATGTGGTTTTGAGAGAATAAGTAACTTGGACCGGCAGCAGAGCTCAGATGCAAACCTGATGCCAGTGTCCTTGCCCTCCCCACTGCGCCAGACTAGGTGTATTTATAGGTCTCGTTCGGCCAATAACATCAGCTAAGCCCCGAGTAGGGCCCTGGAGACATGAGTGAAAGACAGAGTCCCTGCTCCTGACTCATGTACACTCCAGCAAGGGAGATAGACTATATGGTGTCCACTATGTAGAAGTGGAGATACCAACTGAGCCTAGGGAGGGGGTGGGCATCTGCTAAGCCAGAAATATGAAGGCTGTGCCAACGCTCCTAACCACTGACAATCATGATGATTCTGCAGACACAGGAGCGAGGTTCTCTACTTACATGAAATAGTTTACGCATCATGCACATGGACCAACTCAAAATAGTCCCCAAATTCTAGCAGTGATTAGAACCTCTTTGTGTTTTAAATCCAAAACACATTCATGCCTATTCACTGGTTTAATGATAGAGCATGTCAATCAATGAACCATGAGGAAAGATTAACCGTATCTTGAAATGAGAATATGAAGAAAGTACAGGTATAAACCTACAACCCAACACAAGTACCTTATCTGGTTGGGCTCAAGCCTTTGGACTCTAATCCCTTTTAGTGATCCAGAAAGCCAAATTGTCAAGGACCTAATCTTGTTAAAATAATTCTCTCAGAAACAAATATTCTAAGAGAAATAGCGTAGGTTTGCATATGGTTAAGCATACAGATTAAAAATTAAAAAATAAAATTGTCTCTATTCATAGACAACAATATTGTCAATGTAGAAAATCCCAGTCAATCCCCCAGAAAAGGGTAGAATAAGTGAGTTTAGCAAGATCACAGGATACATGATCAATATACAAAAATCAATTGTTTTTATATACTACCAATGAACAATTTCAATAGCACTTTTATAAACTACTTAGGTATAAAACAAAATATGTGCAAGATCTGTAAAAAAGTCTAAATAAATGGAGGGGTATACCATGTTAATAGATTCAACAGTGTTACTACTTCTTCCCAAATTGATTTATAAACTCAACACAATCTCATTCTAAATTCTACCAAGATATATTGTAGAAACTGACACATTGACACTAAAATATATATGGAAAAATAGAGAAACTTGAATAGCCAAAAACAATTTCAAAAATGAAGAACAATATTAGGTAATTCACACTAATTGATTTTAATACTTCCTTTAAGGCTACAGTAATTAAGTGTGGTGATGTTGAAAGGAAAGATATATAAATTAACAGAACAAAATACAAAGTCCAGAAATAAATTCACATGTTATGGCCAACAAATTTTCAACAAAATTGCAAAAGTAATTCAATGGAGAATCTTTTCAATAAGTGGTGCTGAAACAATTAAAAATTAATATAAAAAAATTGAACCTTAATTCATGCCTCACACCATAAAATTAACTCAAAATGGATAAATAATGTAAATGTAAAACCTAAATTTTTAAATTTCTAGAAAAAAATCTTTGTGACCTTAGATTAGGCAAAGAATTCTTACACATAATACAAAAAGCATAACTCATAAAAAACGATAATTTGGACTTTGTAAAATTTGAAACTGGTTCAACACAAAACACTGTTAGGAAAATGAGAAAGCAAGCCACAGGCTGGGAAACGATATTTGCAAAACATATATTTGTATCTAGATAAACTTTATAATCTCTCAAAATACAATAATAAGAAAATAAAAACCCACTTTTTTAAATGGGCAAAAGATTGAACACACACTTCACCAATAAATGGTGGATGATATACAAGCTCATTAAGGGATTCTCAACATCATTAGTCATTAGGAAAATGCAAAATTACACACCTATTAGAATGGATAAACTTTTAAACACTGACATACCAAGTGCTGACAAGAATGCAGAGCACCGCACATTGCTGGTCAGAGTACAAAATGATACAGCCACTTTGGAAAACAATTTAGCATTTTCTTATACATTTAAATATACAACTGCCATATGTCCCAGTCATACCAGTCCTAGTTATTTACTCAAGAGAAAAGAAAACTTATGCTCACATGAATGTTTATAGCAGCTTTATCCATAATCACCCAAAACTGGAAAAACCCTGCCCTAACCGGTTTGGCTCAGTGGATAGAGCGTCGGCCTGCGGACTCAAGGGTCCCAGGTTCAATTCTGGTCAAGGGCATGTACCTTGGTTGCGGGCACATACCCAGTAGGGAGTGTGCAGGAGGCAGCTGATTGATGTTTCTCTCGCATCGATGTTTCTAACTCTCTATCTCTCTCCCTTGCTCTCTGTAAAAAATCAATAAAATATATTTTAAAAAATTTAAAAAAAATCATTACCAGTATTGTTGTCATGCACCGACAGGCACCTCCTCTTAAACAAAAACAAAACAAAAACAAAAAACAAAAAACTGGAAAAACCCTAAATCTCCTTCAACTGGCGAATGGAAAACTATAATAGGTTCATCCATACAAAGGACTACTATTCAGCAATGCAAATGAAAGAACTATTTATTCATGCAACAATGTGGTTCAATCTCAAATGCATTATGCTAAGTGAAAGAAGCCAGACTCAAAAGGCTCCATGCTGTATGCTTCCATTTATACAACATTCTGGTTGAGACAAAACTATAGACAGAAAAAAGATGAGTGGTTTTAAGGAGCTTGGGGTTAATTGCAAAGAAGTATGAGAATTTTATGGGTGATGAAGATATTTTATATCTTGATTGTGGTGGTGGTTGTGTGCATAGAGCTATTTTCTGAAAAGGTTGTGTATCTTAATAAACCGGACATATGTGGGATGTGTGTGTGTGTGTGTGTGTGTGTGTGTGTATTACACATACATGCACATGCAAGACCCTGGAGGAGTCAGGAGGAAGGAAGATCACAGGTGTGGCTGACCTGATCAGAAAGCATGCTTTGTCCTCTGAGGCTGAGGGGAAGCATTTAAAAACACGTGTAAATCCTGATAAACATGTGAGGGCTGGTGGGGCAGGTTGGCCTGAAGAGGAGACAGGCTCATCCATTTGTGGGGCTATAAGGCTTTTCCTAGCCACGCTCAGCAGCCACGGGCTCAGCAGTTGGGAAACTTCAGTAGTGCAGGTGAGTCATCAGTTTGATGTAAGATCAGGGATTTGTGAGATGAAGGTAACAAGATACAGGACAATAGGATTAAGGCTACTGGAGGGAGGCTGGTTAACCATGTGGTCTAGGTTAAGGACATGTGACCAGGGAGGAGCTGTCAGACTGGGGGGGGAAAACAGCTGCCTAACCCAGGCCTCTGCATAGGGATTACCTATGATGTGCAAAGATGCTCTATGGACCATCATGATGTGCAAAGGCTTGCTCCTGAATGGGAAGGAATTTATGATTTTTGGAGAGCAGCATTCAGGAGTTCAGTCACCCAAACTCACAAAAGCAATAATGCAACCTGAGAGACAGGCAGGGCAAGAGCCTGATCTGACAACAAAAGCTCAGGTCTCTTTCCTAACTCTGCTGTTCCCTGGGAAATGACTGGTGAACTTCTGATTTTGTTTGGCTGATAAGACCAAAGATAGATTACCAAGGCATAAACACTAGGTTTGGTAATTTGAAATTTGAAATTAAGCATAATATATGCTTGGATGCAAATTTTCCACAAACATGTAAGAGAGAAGTTCTGTCTAAGACAGTGATGGCGAACCTATGACACGCATGTCAGAGGTGACACGCGAACTCATTTTTTTGGTTGATTTTTCTTTGTTAAATGGCATTTAAATATATAAAATAAATATCAAAATATAAGTCTTTGTTTTACTATGGTTGCAAATATCAAAAAATTTCTATATGTGACACGGCACCAGAGTTAAGTTAGGGTTTTTCAAAATGCTGACATGCCGAGCTCAAAAGGTTTGCCATCACTGGTCTAAGACATGACTACAAAGCCAATGTTACTGTCTGGGGAAATAGAGGGAGGGCTCAGAAAAGGGACTGGGAGGGCCAGTTTATCCAATCCTGCACGAAAGGATGAATGCTCCATGGTTTTCTAGAAGGAGAAAATTCAGAGTGAACATCTTGGCATCAGGCAGAACAAAAGGAAAACAAGTCATGTCATAGAAAATGTCTGGGATGTTTGGGTCCACATGACTGAAGAGCAGGCAAGCTACCTCCCGTTAACAGCCCGGACCTTAGCAGCGGGCCCTAACACCTGGTTCTAACAATGCACACTATCCAACCCCTTATAGTAATTGCTCAGGGAAGTAAGTCCTAGCTTGTCAAGTATCTGTGTTTATATTGCACTGGAGGCCCAGTGCATGAATTTCATGCACTGTGGGGGGATGGGGAGGGGGGGGTCCCTCAGCCCGGCCTGCACCCTCTCGCAGTCCGGGAGCCCTTGGGGGATGTCCGACTGCCAGCTTAGCACTGCTGTGGAGGCAGGAGAGACTCCCGCCACCGCCTCTGCACTCGCTAGCCTGGCTTCTGGCTGAGCCTATGGGAGTGCACTGAACACCCGGGGGCAGCTCCAGCATTGAGCGTCTGCCCCCTGGTGGTCAGTGTGTGGCATAGTGACCTGTCGTGACCATCTGAGCATCTGGACCAGGGACATGTATCATTTCCCTTGATTGCCAGAGCCTGGTTCAGTGCTGTACACAATATCATGGAAAATCAGCTTAAAAATACATATGGAAATAAATTGGTCCTCCAGGCTTCCTGTGTGCAAGGTGCAATTTGGTACGAGATATGCTGTGAACAAATGAGTCACAGGCACACACAGCACTGCCCGGTGACTGGCCCCAGATCAGTCACTCACAGCCACAACGGTTTTCAGAAAACCACAGATCCCACTCTCAGAAGTGGAGCCCTGAAGAGCTAAAAGCAGCTCAACCCAGGAAACTTTTAATGCTTTCACTTTTAGAACCGTAATGTGTCACGTTCCACATCACAGTAATGTGGATCGGTGATTTATGGGAGATGTAGGTCAGTTTCTCAAGTGAGAATCTGTGACATGCTCCCCAGTTGACTCTTCTGCATACCATCTCTGTAAATACCATGTGACATGCACACAGGGTACTATGCTATGAGGTGCTGGGCTTCAGAGTAGACATGAGAATCTCCAATACAATGAACACCCACTAATAACTTATAATATAGGCTCATTTCCAAATATTAAAAGGACTAAAAGTTGGGCTGCCATGTGTGTGGGCAGGGAGTATATGGGAAATCTCTATAGCTTCTGCCCAATTTTGCTGCAAACCTAAAATTGCTTTAAAAAATAAAGATTAGCCCTGGCCAGTTTGGCTCAGTGGATAGAGCATCGGCCTGCGGACTCAAGGGTCCCGGGTTCGATTCCGGTCAGAGGCATGTACCTTGGTTGTGGTATATCCCCAGTGGGGAGTGTGCAGGAGGCAGCTGATCGATGTTTGTAGCTCTCTATCCCTCTCCCTTCCTCTCTGTAAAAAATCAATAAAACCTATTTTAAAAAATAAAATAAAATAAAGATTAAAAAAAAAGTTGACCTGCCTAAGATGATGCAGATGAAATGTGCCTCTCTGCATCTTTTCTCTCTACATGGATCCCCTGCCTTTTACCCTCTACTCATCCCAGCCTGACCACCTCTGTGCAACCTCGGTGAAGCAGGGCCCTGCTCCAGACTCCTATAGCCCAATGTACACTGACTGTGACAATATTAGGACATTTATACCACCCTACACTGTGACCAGCTATTCTCTTGTTTGGTCCTAGTGAATCACACACACACATAACTGGCTGTTCATTGCCATGCCTCTTCCTACAGCATGGTGCCCGGCACTCTGTAGGTATGGAACCAAATTTGTTAGATGACTGACTGAGTGAATGAATGAATGAGATTATCCCTAGCTGTTTTGGCTCAGTGGATAAAGTATCAGCCTGTGGACTGAAGGGTACTGGGTTCGATTCCAGTCAAGGGCACATGATTGGGATGCAGGCTCGATCCCCAGTAGGGGGCGTGCAGGAGAATTAGTAATTCTCTCTCATCACTGATGTTTCTCTCTCTCTCTCTCTCCCTTCCTCTCTAAATTAAATAATATGTGTGTGTGTGTGTGTGTGTGTGTGTGTGTGTGTGTATATATATATATTTAAATATATAAATATATATATATATACACACATATATATATACACACACATATATATATATATATATAAATGAATGAGATTGACATTAGATGAAGTGTGTTGGGAGGAAGGATAGACAAAATGGCTGAACCTCTGCTTTACACATACCCAGGTATTCCTTAGAGTGACCATTTCTCCTTTCTCCGAGGCACAGGAATCCAGACTCTCATCTACTCGATCTGTTACTGTGGTCAATACTCTGAACCAATAAATTAATCACTTCCAGTTCCAGTAGACCAAGGAAACCATGGAAACTGCCATCTGAAGTATTGTGTCGATGGCATGTATAAGGAAAGCAGAAGCCACACTAGGTCTTTCAAACAGAGGGGATTTAATGCAGGGAACTGACGGCAGAGGTTTGGAAAGGCTGAAGGAGGGCCCTTGAGATAACCCAGATATTAGTAAACACAGGAAGCGGCTACTAACCTTAGGGCTGGGGGAACACAAGGGAAGAGATGGTGTTACCAGAACCTAGAAGCTTTGATGGGGGACCCCCCACGGCTGGTGCCTGGCCCTCTGATGGGGCTGCTGCGTGGCGGCTGCTTGGACTTCTGAGGGGGGCGCTGCTTGGCTGGTGGTGGTCGGACCTCTGGACGGGGTCGTGGCTGACGCTCAGACCTTGGAGGGGACCGTGGCTCAGACCTCGGAGGGGACCGTGGCTTGGCTGGTGCTCTGACCACCGCGGGGGGTGCAGCTGGCTGAATCTTGGGCCTCTGGGGGGACGGTGCACGGCGCCTGGTTCTGAGAGGGCCAAAAGAAGCTGGAGGCTGGAGCCATGGCTCTCCTCTGCTGCTTAAGGGATGCTGACAGGAGCTGGAAACAGGGAGGCAGGCCCTGCTCCCCCTCCCACCTTCCAGTCTCCCTCTAGCGCCTTCCAATGGCAGAACCTAACCCGGATCCGACCGTCAGGGGACTGGGGGAAGAGCCGCCTGCAGAGTCCCAGCCCCAGCATCAGAGTAGAGTAGAAAGGTAGGGGTACGGAGGTGGGGGGGGCTTGGAGCTGAGAGATGACAGGCCAATGCCCAGCCCAGGTGCTGACCCCTTACCTGGTCCTCTGGCAGGCACAGCAGATCCAGTCCTCTTCTTTCTTCTGGTAGAAGCAGCCACTTTTGCAGATGCTGTATTTCCGATCCACAATCTCACGTTTGGAGTTGAGGAAGGTGAATGGCGGGCAGCAACGTATGCTGAACTGCTCAGAAAACTTCTGGTTCTTGGAGAGTCTGGGACCCTCCTTACTCGTTTTCTGACTCATCTCACTGGAAGTCATCCATGCAGGGGGAGGTAGGGAGACAGAAACAGCAGGGCAGGTGAGAGAGTGTTCTACTCAGGAACGCACCCCTGCTACTCCCAGAGCTGTCTTATGCAGCAAAAACCTGAAATAGCAAGTTCCTACCCAAGTATGGAGAACAACTAAATTAAGGGTTGATTAATTTTTGTGTATTTTTTGTTTTCTGGAAATGGACTCTTTTTCCCATATGTTTAATGATCCATTTAAGATAGAAAAAGATATTACAAAGCCAAACATTACTGAGCACCTAGTGTATGGTGGTTGCTTTATATACGTCACCTCATTGTTATAACATATGGCATTGTCAACAAACTAAAGATGAGAGAAGCTAAGAAACATGACCAAGTTCATAAAGCCTGTGAGAGGCAGACAGAGGATTTGAACCCATGCCTCTCTGTCTCCAAAATCCTGTGCCCTTTGACCAGGCCCAGCACTATCTGTGCTCCCTGTGCTCAGCGCTTCTCTCCCAGCAGCAGGGGGCCAGGCGCTGGGCCCAGACTGGACTTTGGGGAACTGAGATGGGCCCAGAGAAGGGATAGTCTGCATAGATGTGCATGGGTCCTGGGCTGAAAAAGACTGGAAGTTGGGGAAAGAGCTCAATGAGGAAGGAAAGGTGGAGAAAGGCATTTGGAGACCTCGCACAGTATGCATATGCAGCAAGGACTTCCCCAACGAGCAAGAAAGCTCACAGTGGGGAACTAAAATGTAAACTCAGAGAGGGTCCTGAAAGGAGATGACAGAGAGGTGCTTCCCTCTGGTCCTCCACCACCTGGCCTTAGCAGGTTTTTAAATCTACACTCACTGTTGAAAAAATATTTTGGATGAATGGAAATAATAAAAATTCTGCCCAGCTGGTGTGGCTCAGTGGTTGAATGTCAACCTGTGAACCAGGAGGTCACGGTTCGATTCCCAGTAGGAGCACATATAGTTACAGCCCCCTTTATAGTTTATATATTTTCATCTTCTCTCATTTTTCTTGATTAATCTTGCCAGAAATCATCTCCTTTATATTCTTTTCAGAAACAAACTCCTGGTTTTCTTGCTTATCTTTGCTTTTTTTTTTTTTCTAGTTCATGAATTTCTGTATGCATTTATTATTTCTTTTCAGTTTTCTTTACTTTTATGCTCTTGTTCTATTTCTCTATTCTTGAATCAAATGCTTCTCACATAGGCATTTATGACTGTAACTTTTCCATTAAATACAATTTTAGTTGTATACCACAAGTATTAACATAAATCATTTTCACTTCATTTTAAATATGGATGAGTTCTTTGATTCATCAATTCTCTTTAAAAATCTGTTCCTGGACTCTTGAACACTGTACACCTTTACATGAGACAGTTCCTTCTCAAAGTGGACAAGAGTATAGGGAACCTGAAAGTCCTCATGGCAAGGAGGAAGGGGTGGCTGGTCTAGGTCATGTCCTCTTCTGCTAGACTCTGCTACAGGGTACCTGTGGTCTCACCTGGCCCCTAGCATGAATGACACATTACCACTTACCACTTGACCCCACCAAAGCCACTGGTCCCTACTCAGCAGCCTCCTATTGTGATCCAGCTGTCCTCTCAGCCCCTACACATCCACTCCAGGTAACTTCCAGTTCCCACGCATGCCATGCACTACATATGGGGAATCAAGAGCCCTTTCTTGGGGCCATTGGCCTAGACAACACCCCCTAGCCCCCCAAAAAGCTGTGTGCTCACTCAGGGAATGAGGGCAGGCATCCTCCAAGGGCCTGCAATCTGTCCCACTATTCCTGTTGAAGTGTGTCAGTAGGACCCACCACACACACTTCCAAATCTGTCTGGATGTTTCTATACCATACCACACCCCTCCCTGATCTTGAGGTTTCATCTGAAGAAAAGCGAGAACATGGCTGTCTGCCTCCTTCAGTTTCTCTCTCCCCCATGAATGTGCTCCACAGTACACAGAATTCTTCCACAAACTCACCAGGTGGAAAAGGCTTGAGCGAAAAAGGCCATGCTCCTTCCCAGGCCTTTCCTTCCCTTTCCCCAACTCCTTCCTATACATGGCTATCACTTCTCACTGAAACCACACGGCCACCCTCTCTGCCTTCAAGTGGTTGGGAATAATTGTAAGGAAAAGATGGAAGTAACCAGAAATTGGCATTTTCATAGAACAAGATGAAATGTCTAGCATTAAAAGCACTATTACTTCAAAACATGAAGAATTAACTTCAAGTGCTTAAAATATTTATAAATTTTTAATGAATTTCTATTAGATCTTGCCTCCATTTCACAATGTAATATTTATTCTCTGAAAATGAAAGCCCTTGAGAGCAATAAAAGCAGTTAACCTTTCATTTTCTGAGAGGAGACAGAAATATAGTTACAGTAATAATGCATGAATATGGGTGAAAATAGTAAATGGAATTTTACTGACTGGTAAGCATAGGGAGGCAGCTGGGATATGTGATTTTAAAAAAAACAAACAGACTTAATTTTGCATATTACACAGAATCAGGGGATGGTCTTTCAAGAACAGAAAGAGTGAAGCATTCGTAACTCTATATATTTCTTAAATTTCTTAAAAACAGACTAGCTTATTAAAGGCGAGAATATGGGCAAGGGAATCCTAGCATTTTTATAAAAACACAATGTAAGCAGTAAGGCTTTGATTTTATGTAATTATTAATATTCTTATACTTGATGAATTATGGAAATATTAGGTAGCTATTTGAAGAACAATTGAATATTAGGCAGCCATTTTTAAAGATGCTTATGAAGAGATTATGCTGACATAAGGAAATATTTCTGTAATATCAAGTGAAGGCAGAAGGAAGCTAGACTATTTCTTATTTTTAATATATTTTTTTATCGATTTCAGAGAGGAAAGGAGAGGGAAGAGAGTTGGAAACATCAATGATGAGAGAGAATCATTGATTGGTTGCCTCCTGCACACCACCTACTGGGGATTGAGCTTGCAACCCGGGGCATGTGCCATTGACCAGAATCAAACCTGGGACCCTTCAGTCCGCAGGCCAATGCTCTATCCACTGAGCTAATCCAGCTAGGGCTAGACTATTCCTTGTATGTCATCAACTCCAGGGTCCAGCTGCAGCCAGTTGAGAGTCAGAGGCTGACCACATCAAGAGGGCTCCCAGCTTCCTCAGACACCTTCAGAGGTAGCCCTCTCATCAGGGTCTAGGACAGAAGCCAGGGTGGCCTTCGGCAGGAGAGAGACACACACTGAGACCCTGCCTTGAATAGATGAGACACTGATGCTCTGGAGACTTCGAGCAATCTTAGGCCTAATTTTCAGGCTGGCAAAGACTCTCTGAATTGTTGGTGGGAGCTATTAAGACAGTTGTGACCATGGTGGACCCACTGACAGTGGAGGCCAGGTGACATATGCAAAAAATATACACAGAAAAAGACGGAAGGTAAATGCAATAGTAACACTCAGCCATTCATTCAAATACTATTGAGTGCCTACTAAGTGCCAATTGTGAATAAGACAAAGTAGGTGCCTGTACTCACGGAGCTTGGGGTACAGTGAAGGGGACTCTAACAGATCATATTATGAACAAGGTAGTCAATGTCTAACTGAAGTGTGATTAAACTCCTGGGTGCTAGGAGTGAGTGTAGCAGTGAAATAAATTTAGACTGAGGGGCTCGGGGAGGATTCCTGAAGAAGAAACATTTAACTTGAGACCTAAAGGATACGTGGGAACCACCCAGTGTAGAGGAGGAGAGAGTTGCAGACAGAAGGCCCTGAGACTTGAGTGCTGAGGAAACCACAGAAGAGGGCGCGGCTGAATATCATGTGGGCCAGACAGCCCAGGGCCTTGATGGTGAGCTAATGAATAGGAAGAATGGGAAGGCACGGAAAGGTCTTGACCAGAGGAGGTCAATCTTCCTATTCATGTTCTGGGAAGATCACTCGGGCTTCTGGCAATGGAGATCAGGAGGCAGAAGGGGAAGTGAGAAAACCAGTGAGGGAGGATAGGAAATTCACCTAGGGCAGTGGCAGTGAAGGTGGATCTTGGAAGTAAGACTTAAGGATGGATTGGATGTAGAGTCCATTGGAAAGGGCAGGGCAAGGAAGATAGCCAGGCTTTCGGCCTGAGCAAATGCCTAATAGAGCAGTTTACTGAGATGGAGGAGATAGGGGGAGGGGAGTGAGGGCATAGTGGGACATTCATTTATTCAACAAATATTAATTGAGCATCCACTTTGTGTCGAAAATATTAAAGCTGAGATGCTTATGAGGATCTAGTGCTGATGACTGGTCTGTAGTAGGAACATTGGCCTAGGCCTCAAAATTGCTAAGGACCAGAGTATAACATGAGCAAGGAGCTAGGCAGGAAGACCAACAATGAACAGGGCTTGCAGATGGATTAATGGCAGGCAGGAAAGAAGAACAAACAGGATTTCTCCAAGGGGGCATTGTATAATGGAAAATAGATGAACTACTCAAAAGAGAGACAAAAATGAGAATAGATCAAAGACCCCAATTAGAATAATAACAGCAAATACATGTCAGGAGATACAAGCCAGACACATTTCAAAGACTTCACATATTCAATTCATTTAATCCTCACAACCTCACAATAGCCCCATTATTGCACATGAGAAAGCTGAAGACATAGAACTAGTAAGTGGGGGCCCCAAGATCTCAACCAAGGCAGACTGGTCACTATTTCTAATCTTGACACTGTGCGGTTTCTAACAGTAGACATGAAGAGGAGAGAAGCAAATCAAAGATGATTTAATAGAACAAAAGATACTACAAAGCTGCAAGTTAAAAGAGCTGTACCAGTAGAAAAGATAATATATGAACACATAAAAACATAAGGTGCTAATAACCAGAATGTTTACAGAAAAAAACTATATTTTTTAAAAAAAAAACAGGCAAATAATAAAAAAAGATGAATCTATAAAAGCCAGTTATCATATACCAATAGGCTTAAGTCTGTAAGATTAAAAGAAAGAGAAATAAAAGCAAAGAAATGTCAATTCGTGCCCACTCCAACTGGCCCAAAAAAGAGGGGATGACATTAGCAAAGAACGGGAAAAGGCTGCCAATCAGTGTGTCGGGGAGAGAGGGGGGGGGTGTTAGCAGCATTCAGCTAACAAGGACTGGGCTGAGCTGGGTTCAATGAACCATCCAGGCTGCAAGCCCTGGGCTGTCAGAAGAATGCCTCCAACTTCCAGCAAGTGAGGAGTGCACACGGATGCTCTGACCAGGAGCTGTTTTTGGAATAAAAATTAGGGGTTCAAAAGTTTCCCTTCATGCCTAGGTTTCCTCCACCTACCACATCCTTCTGAAGGCTGCTCAGCCCCAACTCCTCTGCTATGAAAAACACAATCACCGCAAAGCAAATTCATTCTACATCCACCACCTCCATCAGAACCTGTAACAGTTTCCAACACCTTGCTAACTCTCTCAGGCCAGGAGATAATGCTTTCCTCCAAGTGCAGATTTACACAGTGAAAGACAATGGCTGCCGTGTGGATCAGTCCGCAGCAGCAAAAACACATCTAGGCCCTGGCTGGTTTGGCTCAATGGATGGAGCGTCGGCCTGCGGACTGAGGGGTCCCGGGTTCGATTCCAGCCAAGGGCACATGCCTGGGTTGCAGGCTCGATCCCCAGTGGGGGGCGTGCGGGAGGCGGCCGATCAATGATTCTCTCTCATCATTGATGTTTCTCTCTCCCCCTCTCCTTTCCTCTCTAAAATCAATAAAATATATTTTTTTAAAAAAACACATCTAGGAAGTAAACTTTGCAACTACCACATGCTGTCTCTAAGGATATCTTTATCCATTTGTCCTTGTTTATCCATTTGTATCCTTGGCAACCAAAATGTTTACAAATTAGTACAATGAATGTTGAACAGATTATTGTTTGGAAGCCAGTTCCAGGTAAGGAAACGCCATACAGGTGTTTATTCTGAATCAGAGTGCTTTTCCCCAGAGAGCAGCGTCTTGTCAAAACCCAAAACTGATTTGAGGACCTTCGGGGGCTGTGAAAATAGGATCCTGACTGTCTTGGGGTTGACAACCTACTTGGGAGACAAAACAACACCCTCACTGCTTTCTTTGGCTCCGGCAACAAGGATAAATTAAAGCTGTCCAAGGACCACACTGCTCAGTCAGCTCTCTCACAGACTTGTGCAAAAGACCGTTCTGACTGAACAAACACTGCCTGACTCGGGCTTTTCTAGAAAGGGAATACGTGTGACCCCAGGTGGGTATCCTTAGCACACAGCCAATATATCTGGCAAGTCTTTTAGGAATAAAAACCTTGCTCATTATAGTGAAGCCAGATAAACATGTAAGAAGTAATTTTCTGAATGCAATTTTAATGACATTGTTTTTGTTACATCTAAAATTATACAATACATTGTTTTTTACCTTATGGAATGTGAATTTGCACTAGAATGGTATGTGGATAAATAATTCCAAAAATTTTTTATGGGGTAAATGGGTCCAGGAAATGGAACCAAAGGTATGATTTGTCTCCTTGTTTGTCATTTCCCCTCCTCAAAAATTTCAGAGGCTCTCCCCAGTTACAGAGCAAAGTCCTTGCTTCTTAGTGAATATAGCACTAAGATGCCTCCTGTCCACCTTGCCCCTTTATCCCTCACAACCACTCCTCTGTGTTATAGGTCAGAAAAATCCTGCTTGTGTGGTGAACGTCTATTCATCCTCAACAACCCAGCTGAGGTCTCACCTCATTAAAGGATGCACCCACTTTGGGGCTGTCTCTGTGACTTTTGCATATACTTCCACTGGTGGGCATGCCCCACTGGAAGAGTGTGGCTGCATGTCTGGGATCCCAGCTTGAACTCTTTGAGAGAAGGGCTTCTGTCTGAATCCCCAGGGCTCTGCTGTGCCCTCCACCCTTTGAACTGAGTATCTTTACAATCCTCTGGGGTGTTATGTAGAACTCAGGTGGCTTTGGCTAGATTCTCAGCATGGTTATTTTAAGAATTAAAGTTTTAACGTAAGTGCCTCTCTCCGTAGACAATATTATTTTTTCAATGTGTGCTTAGTTTTATAATCATTTGTCTTTCTTAATCTGTTTGTGATTTTAAAAATATGAAAATGATGGGGTTTTGAATGTACTCCCACATAAGTAAACAAATCCTCTCTGGTAATTTTTCCTGGATAAAGGAGAGGCAAGCAATCATCCAGATTTGCATTTGTTTATAGAAAAACCTAAGTGTCAGTGTGGCCTATAGTCTGGGCAGGGGGCGAAGGGAAGAACCTGGATTACCTTCTGGGCTGGTTGATTACTTCGCCTTGGGTTCTCCACGGGCATCAGTCTCAGGGAGATGAAGAGACCAGGCCAGAGACAAGCTAAGATATGCACTGGATTGCTGACCACCCCTTTCGTTATTTTGTGTCCAAGGCCATTATCTGAGTCATCCAATGGCAGTTACATTTGTAGACTTCCTCGGTTGGATAAAATGCCACTTGTCCTTGTAATTTATATACCTCCATCTTTATATTTACTATGTTATATTGAAATTATCCATCTATTCAAAAAAAACCAGAGGAGGAGTCAAGGGGGACTCCAAGGTATATAGTTTGAGTGACCAGGTGGGCAGTGGAAGCATCTGCTGGAGGAGAAGGTTTGGGGGAAGAAGCACAATCATGAGTTCAGTTTTAGATGCAGTGGAGTTGAGGCGTTAGAGGGGCATCTAGATGGAGACGTCAAGTGGAAAGTTCAGAGGAGACGTCCGGGCGGGAGATAGAATCTGAGAGTTGTTGGAGTGTAGGTGGCAATGAAGCCTTGATGGATGGAATTGTCTTGGTGGCAGAATGCTGGGTGAGAAGAGCGTATAACTGTGCGGTAGGACACTCCCACATTTACTGGCTAGGTGGAGGAGGAGTGATTGGCAAGGAATAAAGAGAAAAGTCGGAGAGGAAGGAGGGATACTGGGACAGATGAGCACGGTAGCCAAAGGGAAGGAGTGTTTCAAAAGAGGAAGTAGTCAACTTTGTAGGAAGATTCTGAGACACTGTGGTGTGATATGAGGATATAAAGAGTACATTAGATTAAGAGACATGAAAGTAATTGGTGACTTTAGCAAGAATTGTTGCCATGGAATGTTTAAAACAGAAATTGGATTAGAGGATTTGTGGAGGGCCAGAGTTTGAGAATGAAGGGGAAGAGAGTCGTGGAAGCTAGGAAGTGAGTGGATTCCCAGTTTAGTAGGGTGCCTAACATAGTAAGTTGAAAGAAAGGAAGGTCATGAATGAGACCCTAGATGTTTGCACTACTTGAATTACAGAGGAGGTAGTTTCAAGTATTGGCAAGCTCCACAGTGTGCCAATGAATGGATGAGGCAGAGTGTACAGTACATGGGTTTGACAAAGGTAGACAAATGGTGGCTTAGGTCATAGTGTCTTGATGCACATAGGGTTTTTCCCCCAAAATTTCTACTCCCCAAACCTAGAATACTATGAAGCACCTGGAATAGTTTTTAAAAGTGTTTAACTCTTATTAAAAATTGGATTGTTCAGTTTTTTGCTGATTCTGCATTCTACTTGAACTTTCTGAACTAGTGATCATTATTAGCAATCTAGGTCAGGTCCCAAAGAGTGTAAGAGATTCACTGGTACCTGTATTTTCATCCGTACACATCTGGTGATTAGGTCTCTGTTATGAGCTTGTCTTGGTATCATTTGTTTCTTCTTTTTTTTTTTCTTTTCCTAAAAGTGAAGTAGCAGAATGTGTTCTGGTTACTTAGGTTGTAGTTAATTCGAGTGCGTTGTGCACAGAGCTTCACTCTCACATTCTGCATCAGATTCCTGACTTTTAAATGCTGTTGCTCCAGAGTCTAAACGCTGCTCTCTTTCCCCTATGCCCATTCATGCCACATGTGGACCCTAACTAGGGATTAACTATATTCTTCTATTTCCTGTATCTTGATGCTCTGGCATCTGGGGCCTTGCAGTTCCTGGAAAGATTGCCCCTCAAGGCTAATTAATTCTAGATACAGCAAAGGACTCCCCTGTTCAGAGTGCCTTTTATATGCAAACCAACCAATCCAGAGCCTAAGCACACCACCTACCATTTTTATTTTTTTATCAAACTGTCACAGATTGAGCCAAAATTCCTATATCCTAATCATCCCAGGGCCAAGTACCAGATGACTCAGGTCAACTCTACACTCGAGTCCCCCATTGAACTTATTTAAACTTGCCCATCCTAAACCTGATTACCCTGCCTGGCTCATTCATACCTGTACAAAGGTACAATAAAGTCTCTTGCTCATGCCTTCCTAGCCCCTTCTGGCTCCTGGCAGACTCTAGTGCTTCCCCATCTAGCCCTCCATGATCTGGCATGCCCTCTCCTCTTGGGAACTGTGAGTAACAAACTATCTTTTCATTTAAAAAAAAAAATTTTTTTTGAGAGAGAGTTTAGAGAAACATCAGTATGAGAGTGAAACATCTATTAGCTGCCTCCTGCACACTCCCTACCAGGGATCGAGTGCACAACCTGGGCCCTGACCTGGAATCGAACCACAGAACCGGCAACCTTTCGGTGCACAGGAGCCACACCAGCCAGGGTAACAAACTATCTTTTCAATGGCAGTCGTCTGATTTGCTGGCCTCACCAAACCTAAACAAAAACAAAATCCCAGGTACATTTTAAAATATATTGGTCCCTTAACCACAGCTAACACCAGGTTTTACCTAATGCATTGTAACAGCAGCACCAGAATCCAGATGGCCTTCACAGCCATGCAAGACGTCACTCCTGGAGTCCATGCGATGGTACCTAATCCTCGGGTTGGCAGTCTTCAGACTGTGGAAAGCAACTCAACTCCCAGCCACAAGACTCTCCTGGCCTTCAAGCCTTCCATGTCCTGACCCCAATTTTTTTGACTAAGTGTGAGGAGGCCCTTATTTTCCACCCCAGGATGGCTCATCACAGGAACACATAATCCTTCAAGTAGAAAACACTTTCTCCAACTCCAGGATGACGTTTACAGCTCAGATAAGGCAATTATAACAGCAAATGCTACACTTTCTCAAAAGCTGGGTTCCTCGACATTAAATAGCACCATGTGCAGAATCCCAAAGTTCTAACCTAATTTCATATTTAGAAAAAAATATTTATCTACCTAATCCAGGGAATAGTCCTGTGAAAGCCATAATACATTCACTTAACTACAAAGATCATATAACAAACTAATCAACTCCCCCTCAGTCAGATTTATGATAACATCAGAGTTTTGTTTTTTTTTTGGGGGGGGGGAGGATGCTTTATATTTGTGTATCTAAAGAATCTATTTTAAGAATAATAAAACTGCCAGCCACCTCCAAACAGTTTTCTCACTTACGAGCAAACAAATGAAAGTTCCTTTTACCAGACACCCTGTCAATGTGCTGAAGGCGGCCAGCGAGCCTGGAGTGGCTCGTCAGGACAACTCTTATCGAACTGTATCTGTTTTCAGCAGATGGGTTTTGCTTAGAAAGAAATGATCACATTTATGACACTCATATTCATAAAGTAGCAGACATGAATCCAACACACACAAAGAATCTAGATTAAATACCTCACCATACACCTATCAAGTTCATGTACACATCATTGTAATTACCATTTATAAGTAAGGGACAGCACTTACACACTTTTGGTGAATATTGGGAATTATCAGGAAAAAAAAGCCCTGGATTTTTAATTTTTTTCACTTTCTTGTAATTTTAGGTACTCATTTAAAATCCTAGTAACCACTAGATAAACAATACCTTGAATTAAAAATTTGTACAATCAGATGTAAGTGTGAATTTGGATATGTATGATCTATAATGCAAGCATAGTCCTTCCAAACTTCATAACCTGGACCTAATCATGAGAAAACATCAGACCAAACCCCAAGTGAGGGACATTTAACAAAACAACTCCTTACCCTGGCCAGTGTAGAGCATTGGCCCGTGCACCCCAGGGGTCCACCTGAGGGTCTGGGTTTGATTCCCGGTCAAAAGAAGGTACCTACGTGGGTTGTAGATTTGACCCCAGCCCCGGTAGTCAGGGTACGTGTGGGAGACAACCAGTCAGTGTGTCTCTCTCATATCAATGTCTTCCACTCTCTCTAAAATCCTCAGGTGAGGATTATCAAAATAATAATAATAATAATAATAATAATAACTCTTCAAAATAATAACTAGTCGAGGCATGAAAGAGAACGACTGTCTTGGGTACTGTTCCAAAGTAATGGAGACTAAAGGACATGGCCACTAAAGGGGAAGCATGATCCTGGACTGATTTCTGGGATAACTGATGAAATCTAGTTGTCTGCAGAGTAGATAATAGTATTTTCTCCATGTTAATATTTTTATTTTGATCACGTCTGTAATTTAATTTCAAATGGCTCAGAAAAAAATAATATGTATATGCGTATACAGAGAAAGAAAGGATAATAAAGCAAATGTAGTAACCTGTCAGCATTTGAGTAACCTGAATTTTTGTACTGCTTGTGATTTTTCTGTAAACATGAAATAATTTTTGTAATCCACTCACCAAGCCATTCTCCTGCTCTTCTGAATAAACATAAAATAGCATAGCTGCACATCTGACAATAGTCTGTTTTCTGCCTCCCGGATTTATTCATGTAGCATTAAAAATTGTTTTCCCCATGTTCTTCCTAGAACTTTAGCCAAGTTCGTAACTTTATTCCCCTGACACATAATCTTTTCTTTCCTTTTTCTATCAACTACAAAACTGAAAATAAAAAGAAACACCTCTGTGATTTCTGAAATTCTGTTCAAGACAAAGCACAGATGTCTTTCCATTTAAGTTTTCTAGGGAACAACGTCCTTCCAAGATTGGGCTTTGCTGTC